TTTTCAAACCCTGGGCTTACTGCCCTGGGCTAATTTGTTTGTCTGAATTAATTACCAGCAGGGGTTGGCCATTGGCCGCCTCTTTCTCAGAGCCCTTCTCTTTTGGAAGGAATGCCTTTTAATTCCAACAGTACAACTAGGGCTCTTTGGCAGCTAGTGTAAAGGGTGCCTTGACATTTCTGTAAAGGCGTTTAAATGTTACTGTCTCCGAAGAAACAATTTTAGAATATGAAACCTTTACCCCCACCCCCACCCGGGCAAGGAAGAAAAACATCACCGGCTTAATTATATCTGTAAAATAACTTCCACATTTGCTTTTCATGATGCTACTAGAAGATAATGGTGCTACTTGCAAATTACAAAATAATTATGGATAATTTGATGAAACTTGCTTTGGATTTTTGTCGCTGTAAAATGACATCTTACTTTAGAGGACAAGGGTACGTGGAAAGCCATATATAATCCTTCCTGGTTGGTAAAAGATCTGCTGGGAGACAAACAGTTGGAACAATATTTCCCAGGAGAGCCTCACATGGGCATATCAAAGTCCTTTTGTAGGTGTGGGATCAAACCCAGTGCCAAGTACATGCACACAAGCAATCTACCAACTGAACCATATCCTACTCTCATAACATGTTCTTATAATTAGAAAAATGAGCCCAAAGACACTTAATTCTCTCTCTGCTCCTCTCTCTGTATGTGTGCGTGCGTGCGTGTGTGTGCGCGCGAGCACACGTGCACACGCGCAGGTACATGTGCACATATGTACATGAGTGCAGAAGCCAGTTGTGTTTTTCCTCAGGCACTGTCTACTTTTTTTTTTTTTTTTAAGGACAAGGTGTCTAAGTTAGGGTTACTATTGCTGTGATGAAACACCATGACTAAAAGCAAGTTGGGGAGGAAAGGGTTTATTTGGCTTATGCTTTCACATCACTGTTCACCATTAAAGGAATTTAGGACAGGAACTCAAACAGGGTAGGAACCCGGAGGCAGGAGCAGATGCAGAGGCCATGGAGGGGAGCTGCTTACTGGATTGTTCTCCATGGCTTACTCTGCCGGCTTTCTTATAGAACCCAGGACCACTGGTCTAGGAATGGTACCACCTGTAATAGGCTGGGTCCTTCCACATCAATTACTAATTAAGAAAATACTCTGCAGGCTTGTCTACAGCCTGATTTTTTTTTTTTAAGTATAGCTTCCATTTTATTTTTGCAAGGTGTTTCTTCTGTCCTTATGAAGCTGCCTCTTTACATGGGCTTTGGTCAAGGTTGAGGTGCAGCAACCAACAGGTCTAACTCGTGGTGGGGGTGTTTGGTCCTTCTGGGCTTCAGGATCAATTCCTGGCCACCTTGCTCTGAATGACACAGTTCACACAGCAAAGCAGCATGATGTAGAGTTGGGGAAGCACATCAAGGACACTTGCTTTGGCTGTGTCCCTGACAGCAGCAGCCTCTGCAATGTTCTGAATGATGAACTTCTTAATGGCCTTGTCCTTGGGCATGCACCAGGCACAGTTCATGCAGCAAATTGGCTGTATATAGCTGAGGCCCTTTTTGGCACTGTTTTTTTCTTCTTTTGGTCATCTTAGAGCCAAGATCCCAAAGAGCCTACAGCCTGATCTTATGGAGACACTTTTCTCAGTCAAAGTTCTCTCCTCTCAGATGAGTATAGCTTATGTCATGTTGACATAAAACTAGCCAGCACACAGGATCTCTTGCTGGTCTGGAATGTGCCAATTAGGCTAGGTTTGCTGGCTAGCAAGCTGCAGGGATCAATCTGTTTCTACCTTCCTAGTACTGGGTTTACAAATGTGTACCTCCACGCCTGGCTTTTTTAATTTTAATTTTTTTCTTAATGTGCATTTTGGGGAATAAATTCAGGTTCTTGTGTTCACAAGACAAGCAATTTACATGGCTGAGCTAACTCCCCAGTCCCCAGTTCATTATATGTAGAGTATTTATTGTGATAAGAAACATACAGCATGAAGTCTAACTCCTTACCATGATTTTAAAGGTACATTGTGGAAGTGCTTGTCATGTGCACACTGCTATGCAGCACATTCTTAGAGTCTATTCACTTTACATCATTGAAACTACACTACACAGTGGCCAGCAGCTCCCAGTTTCTCTTTTTCACACCCCTGGAAATGTCTTTTCTGTGTTTTGCTTCTGTGAATTTGACCTCTAGCTGTAGGATTGTGCAGAGTTTGTCTTTCTGTCACACTTTGTATGATGTCTAGATGGCCCATCTTGTAGCCAATGATAAGATTTACTTCTTCTTATATCCCAAATATTGTTTTATTGTGTGGACACAGCACACTTTCTTTAGCCATTCAGTTGTTGGTGAATGGTTAGGTTGTTGCCATATTTTGGGTATTATGAATAGTGCTGCAATGGATGGAGGAGTGCTAATATTTCCCTGAGAGTCTGCTTTTAATTCTAATGGATAAATACATAGAAAACAGGATAGCCTAACCATATAGCATTTTTATTTTTAACCCTTTAAGAACCTGCATATTCTTTTCCATGAAGCTATACCATGTTATGTTCCCACCAACACTACACAAGAGTTCTATGATGGTTAAATTTAATGGTCAACTTAATACAATCTAGAACCACCTAAAGAGAAAGTCTCTGTTAAAGATTGTTTATGTCAGGTTAGTCAATGGGCATCTTGATCTCATCAATTAAAGTGTGAAGACCTACCTACTATGGGTGGCACCATTCCCTAGGAAGGTTTCTCAATGTAATTTTAATTTTTACGTTCTTGATCATTAATGATGGTGATGATCCCTTAATATATCTGTCCACCATTACTAGTATCTTATACTACACACAAAAATCATGTCATTTTTTAAAAATGGGTGTGTAAGAATGGAGAGAGTAAGCTCTGCACTAGCATGCATGCATTAATTCATTGCTCTTTGCTCTTGACTGTGGGTATTACTAGGTTCTTTGAGCCCCTACCTCCATGACTGCCCTGAGAAAATAAATTCTGCCTTGAATCATGAGCCAAATAAACTTTCTCTCTTAAATTGTTTTTGTCTGCTATTTTATCACAGCATCAGGAAAGGGAACAAAAATGGGTTCCAGTTTCTTCTCATTTTCAACAACTCTTGTAATTTTCTATTGTTTTTCTTTCATAGATGGGCATCCGAATAGGTATGATGTGGTTTCTCAATGTAATTTTAATTTTTACCTCCTTGATCATTGATGATGGTGATGATCCCTCCATATACCTGTCCACCATTACTAGTATCTTATACTACACACAAAAATCATGTCATTTTTTAAAAAATAAGCACTTTAACATAAGATGTTAAACTATAAAACTCTTGGAAGAAAACAACTAGGAAATCCTTCATAGTTCTTGGCAATGATTTCTGGAATATGACATCAAAAAGCATAGGCCATGGTGCTGACTTATTCTATAGAGTCAGATAGTAGCTATTTACTGTTAGCAAGTTGTTGGGTTTCTGCTGTTACAGTGGAAACAGGTGCAGACAGTACATACATGGATGGATGTGGCAGCATCGTGATAAAGCTTTATTTGCCCAAACAGCCTGGGATGGAGTCTGCTTGTAGGCTGTTGCTTGCTGAAGACTTTTTACTCAAGACTTTTGTGCCTGTGTACTGTTGGATGCTAAGCCAGCTCTCCTTAGTTGATGCCAGGAACAGCACCCCCACCCATCATGACAAAATGCCAAATGTCCTCTAGGGGGCAAAATCATTGCTAGTTGTTGACCCTCTTACCTAATTGGCTGAGATAACTTGATAAATACTCTCAGGAGAGCTGTCCTAAGATAACAAAACATAGGATAAGTAGAAGAAGAGTCAAAAAAACCGTGCTGTATTTGTCTTAGGTAGGTCAAGGTTGCCTCAAAGGGACCATTATCACCACCTAAATTTGGAAAGTGGTTCAAAAATAACTGCAATGGTAACACAGTTGCAAAGTGCTCTGTTAATAATGCAAATACGAGCTTAACCTACTTTTGTGATCATCACAAGAAACCACATCGAACACACTAGCATGTTCTAATGGGACTCTGAGTCTGAGGGCTTTCTGTGTGTCAGAAAGACTGGGGTGTGGGGTGGGGACAGCCAGCAAGTTCAATTCCCACTTGGGCAAAGGTTTATTTTTTCTGCTTATCTGAATTCAGAACAAACACAGTCAGAGGGAATTTTGAAAGCACTCACATGGTTCTCATTGTTTAGACAGGGCCAGACAAAAATGGCCTGTTTTCATAGCAAATTGGCAATAACACCTGTTTTGAAAGTTGGGAACAGCATAATGCCTCATTTCAGAAAATGGTGTCTTCTTGTCTTGTAGAATAAACACCTGTTTTGTAAAATAGAAGCATAAAAGCTGTCTTTATAAAAATTGTTGGGTTTCATTTCTATTATTCTTCAGTAATTAAAAAATTAAGTACAATTTGAAATCGTATAACATACAGATTTGTGTTTTTAAACAAGTAAGTAAACAATAGCAAAACAATCTCACATCTCAACAGAGCTTCAGTTAGGTCCCTTAGAGTTCACTTTCTCTTGGATTAGAGGGAAAAAAAAACTTCCTTTTTTAAGAAAATTTTCTTCAGATAAGTACCTTTTTTTTTTTTTTTTTTTTACTAACAAGGAGAAATAGTGTGGAAATTGTCCTTGAAAGGAGCTAGTTGTCATCACATGCTAGAAATGCTGCTATTCTCAATGTCTCTTATGACTAGAGTTGATCGATTTGGTGACTGACTTTTCCAAGGCCTAAAGCCTTGGAATCATAAGGGCCAGTAGGTGGCTAAGTAGATAATTTCTTCTTTCCTTGGGGCCATGAAGAATTGTATTCTCAACAATTCACATTTCCGTGTACCTCCAAGGACCTCGCCCCTAAGTCCCTCCTGCCTGGCCCCATAGCTTCTACTGAATACCCGGTCACCTTCTTTGCAGATCAGCAGAATGTAAGATTTTATGGGATGCATCTGACAACAGCTTTTCCTCTCTGTCCCCCAGGTTACCATGGCCTCTACTGTGAGGAAGAATACAATGAGTGCCTGTCTGCTCCTTGCCTGAATGCTGCCACCTGCAGGGACCTCGTCAATGGTTATGAGTGTGTGTGCCTGGCAGAATACAAAGGTAAGCCATTACTTATGATTTCATGGCTCTAAATGACCATATCACATGGAGCTCTCAACTTAGCATGTAAACCCCTAACTGGAGCATGGATTTGTTTATAATCAAAACCAAATACTGAGACTAGGATGGTGGATGTGTCCCAGAAGACCCATTTGTAAGTCTCAGACTCCCTTCTGATAAGCTGAGAAACACTTCTGCCTTTTTTTTTTTTCTTACATGCATCTTTGTACAATGCATATAAAGGTAAATACTGAAAGGGTTGTTAATGTATGCTGGCAGAGACAGGTCAAAGACTGTGGCTGGGAACAAGAAAGAAGAAAGCATGCTGTTCTCTATGGCTTGTTGGGTAAAACAGTATGCCCTTGGTGAGGAAGATGGGGGAGTCTCATGTATTGGCAAAGATGTGAGTTTTTATTAAACAAGTCAGTTGGGAGGCAAATGTCAGTTCATCTGATTGGATGCCTGTTAATGTCACTCTGGAAAAACAGCTGACATTGATGGGGTAGTTATAGTGTATGGATCATGTTCTAAGCATACACATGCATTAACCCATTGAATCCTGCTTGCAGCCCCACAAGACAGATTGGTAATGTTATCTGTCATGAGCTAGCCAGTGTGGTTTGGTTCCTAAAGCCTTTCTCCCTGCCTTTACTTTGGCTTCTAGCCATGGTGTATGGATGGTGTGGCTTCATCTAAGTCCAGATGCTCAAGTTTGAGAGCCACAGCTCACAACAGCTACAGCATGAATGCTGCTTGCTAGTCATTGCACAGTTCCCTAAGCGGAACACCAGGGCTGGCTTTAAATTTTTTAAATACTTTTGTAGCCCTATTTATATTCATTTCCCTTAACCTTCCAACTCCTTTCACTGCTTGCTTGATGTCTTCCATCTGCCTTTTGCTGCTCCCCTTTCATGGGCCCTCCCCTATTTCATGATCTTTCTGGAAAGCTCCAAGGATTGACACACACTGAGGTACTCAGTGAGAGCTCTGGATGCAGCTAAAGCTGACCTGGTCTTTATGCCCAGTGTATCTGCTGTTTCATTTGGAATGGGATACCCAGTGACAACCAAGAAGCATCCACTTCCTCAAAGCCACAAGGGCAGACATGTTGGCTTATCTTGTGGCTTTTCAGCTTGGGATCTATCCGAGCATGGAGAATGAGAGAATCCATTTGATTCTGGAAAGAAGAAAAGAACAATGACTCTAGTGGTTTAATTAGTTCATCTCAATTGTGCCACAGGTCTGTTGAGCCTGGACAATCTCAAATGGATTTTGGCCAATGATACATAGATTTCCAGATCCTTCAGTAACAGAGTTGGTGCAGGCAATAGGCTTCAAACAACTAAAACTACCAATGTTCTTTAGTTTGTGGAACAGATCTCGCCTTTATAATTAGCAAAATCATTAAGCAGATGTATCCTGAACATGTATGTTCTTCAATTATTCTTCTATCCTTGACCTTTAGCTCACAATGGCCTTACTAAGCAAGAAAAATATAGTTGCATTTAAAAGCCTACCAATGTCCCTGAAAATTCTAAGGCTGTGATGTTAACTTTTTCCATGTAGTTTCCATACATTTTCAGTGTTGTTGTCCATATTGTTGTTCCAAAATCACAGCATGTCTTCAGAAGCCCTGTATCAAACTCCTCATTCCGAACACATACCTGACTCTACCTCTATAGTATAAAAGAAAATTCTTATGTGTAAAATCTTCAAATATGCCCAGTCACCCTTTCCTACCTCCCCTCCCCAGGTGTGAGCCATGACTCTCAAACTTGAGTTCACATCAGCTTCTGCCACCAGGTTGTTATAGATCACTGCACCTTAACTTTCCAGCTTTTTAATTCAAGGCTTAAAGTGGGGCCCAAGACTTTGCATTTCTGGCACATTCTCAGGAGTACCTTTGCGAACTCTTCCCTGTAAGTGTATTTGAAATGACAGTTGCTGGAATGTCGTTCTGTCCCATGTTAGCTGGCCATGCTTCATCCTGCTTGAGTTCAATGCTTGCCTGTGTGCTCTGAGTTAGGAGCTTCTGTCTGTCTGAGAAGTTCCCCCTAATTACCTTGCTGTTTGTACATCTGCAGTGTTGAATATTTCTTTTACCATATAAATAAATGTATCTCAGCCGGGCGGTGGTGGCACATGCCTTTAATCCCAGCACTCGGGAGGCAGAGGCAGGCGGATCTCTGTGAGTTCGAGGCCAGCCTGGGCTACCAAGTGAGTTCCAGGAAAGGCGCAAAGCTACACAGAGAAACCCTGTCTCGGAAAAACAAAAACAAAAACAAAAACAAAAACAAAAAAAAAATGCATCTCCTAGTGTAAGACAGTGAAGATTCTAGAAAGAGAGCAGCTGAAGCCCAAATTCAATGTCCTTGATCCCTTGAGGGAAAAGGTAATAGGAAGATGAGGTTCTCAAGGGATGCTATAGGAGCTGGGGAGTCCAACTTCTAGTCAGAAAGAAGGTTCAATTCCCTGGAGAGCTGAGAACTTAAGGAACTGATAAGTGAGGGGTGCAAAGGACCCCGGAGTTCATGGAGTTGAAGGGTATACTGTGAACATACCATACATGACCTCAGGAGGCTGCGTCGTCACCTCATTTTGTAGACACTGGCTGCTCTTCAAGGGAGTTGCATAGTCTGGAGGCCCTAATCCTTTCTCGTGTGTCTGGAAGAGAATGGTTTTATCCTTCTCATACCAGTGGGCCCTGAGAAATCCAGACTGAGAGGCCTCTCTACTCTAGGCCACAGAAGACAGGACCCAGCTGGCTGTTAATCCTGTCAATTTAAAAAGTGATGTGTCTTACTTAGAATGGAATTTGAATCTGGAGAGCACAAAGGTAGACTCTTTTCTGATAGACATAAACATGTGAGGAGATGGAGCTTATTGGAGGAAAGATGGTTGTTATGGAGAAAAGATCCAAGGGTTCTGAGGGCAGATGCTCCAGGAGAAGGGTCAGTCCAAAATAAGGCTGGCACCAAGTGACTATACAGGACCTCAGTAAGAGGAAGAAACCTGGCTTGCAAGTGGGATAGATTCAGGGTGCCCAGTGAACACAATGTGCGAGTTGTCATTTCCTGGTAGACGTTTTAACTCCTAGCCTAAACAGAACGTTCTATAAGATTTTTTCATGGATTGTGCAGGTTGCATACAAAACAGAGAGAGGACTGGGAGACTGGGCAGCATGCAGCCATATTTGGAATGGTAAAGGACGGGAGTTAGAGGACCACCTAAATTTGAGGACAAAGGAAGGATAGTTCAGTTGGTGCATAAAAACAAGAAATTGCCGTACACTCAATAATTCAGAAACCATGATATTCCGTACCCTCTTTGGGACTGTGTTTGTAAGAAGTGTCCTCAGAAGACATTTAGATAGTGAAGGGGAAGAAGAACAGGAGGGATGTGGGAAGACTAATTTAAGTGCAGGGAGTGACCCAGATGGATGAGAGCAATGTGACTGTGATAATTTAATGATGTAGAGAGTCTCTTAGAATAGGCACAACTGCTATATTAGCTAGCTGCTGCCACGCAGAGGCTTACAATACACCAGTGGCTTAGGACACAGCTTTGAATATATATTAGTGTTGTCAGTTCAGGCACAGCTTAAGCAGTGCCGTGCCCAGGGTCCCTCAGACCACTGTGCATGGAATAGCTTGAGCTCTAAGCTAAGGCTGGAATCCCAAAGGATAAGCTCATGAAGACCCCCAGGGCTGGACAGAATTCACATTCTTCCTTCGGGCTGTAGAATTCATGACAGCTTGCTTCATCCCTATAGCTCCAAATTTTCAGTGTCAGCAAAGGCCTGGGCCCCCTTAATGGCTTCCCCAGTCAGGGTAGGCCCACGTAGGATTTGCTTTCCAAGTAAGCCGATTAGGAACTTTAAATGTGTCTTAAAAAGCTCTGAACTTTCCTGTATGCTCTGGATTAGAAGGTCATATTCAGGGGGAGAGAATTACATGGGGACAGATCACAAGGGCTCATGGGGGGGGATTTAAATAGCCAAAGTAAAGTTCTATATCATTTTAATCAAGTCTCTATGAGGCGAAGGAGTCACACACGCCTGTTAAAGACCTCCTCCCTAAGAGCAGATAGCGCATTAATTATCTTTTTTGTTGCTGGAGCAAAATACCTCACAATCTCAATTTAGGCTGCACCTTCACAGCTTCATGCACTGGCCTCTCAGACCCTCTTTGCAGGAACTCCAACCCTGTCATATATTGCCTGGTGTTAGTGGCTCTCTGGGACTTCAGCCCCAAACTCCATGAACTCCTCAATCTTGCATTATCCATGCCTTCAGAACCAGTACCATGCAGTTGATGAAGTGGTGCTGTCAGTTTAGAATGAAGCCTGGCCCCCTTGGACTGCAGTTACACACATATCTTACCTAGGCAGTGGTTTTTGATCAAAGAATCTTCCCTTCCATGCTATTCACAGTTTAGCTCATGTCTTTCAACCAGATTTGCATTTTCACAAGGCACAGCTTTCCATGGGTGGGATGAGAGGAGTAGCCGTAGCCATACCACAGCCCGGATACTCTCCTATCTTGAATTTCTTCTGCCAAACAAATGAATTCACTACCTTAGAAATTAGTCTCCCAAAAGTCCTCAGGGCACAGAGAGAATGCAGCCAGATCGTTTACCAGAATATAACATGGTTTGGGAACCAGTGTTCCTGGCAGTCTTTGTTTCTCTCTGAAATCTCATAAGCCAGGCTCCATGGTCTACACTTCCCTTAATATTCTGGTCTCCTAAACTCCCAGTGGAATGGCCTGACAAACTCTGTCCATAGCCTTCCCCAGCTTTTTTAGTCCCCAATTCCAAACTCTTTCATGTTCATCTTGCAAACTAACCTCAAAAGCCTAAGAACTACCTGGTCAGATTTATCATAGAAACTACTCTGTTTGTTTGGTACCAGTTTTCTATATTAATTACTTTCCTCTTTGATGTGACAAGAGCAACTTAAGGAAGAAAGGGGTTGTTCTAGCTTCAGTTTGAGGATGCAGT